GAATTATGTGGTTTTCCTTGTACAGATTAGCAACATCGAAATCATTTATAAAAGCTAATAGTCAAACTGAAGTAGGTAGTGTTAAAAAATTAGATAGATTAGACTCTTTACGTGGATCGACTACTGAGTCACAAAATGAAGATACTTTTGGGCCTCTCAGTAACGTCAGGTAATTAAGTTAAACTAATTATCACTTTTTTTTTTTTTACAGATATTGTAGTGATAGTCATATTTTTTGTTATATATTTGAATTTTCTCTACTAACTCACAAGTATGATAGTTATTTAGAAAAATACTTTTTTTTTTTTTCTTGTAGACTATGATATTTTAAAAACGAGTCATTCAATTTTGATGTGGTTTGCGGCATTTCACAAAATTTTTTGTCATTAAAATTTAATTAAATTCTGATCTCGATTGTCTTTTATGAATACCGCAAGCCGCATTCAAATCTGAAAATAAGATATTTTCCTGATATTTCAAAATGTTGTAATCTGATAAAAATTTAATTTTCGAAAATTTGACCTGAGTCAATAATTTTTCGAATTGTAAAAAAATTTACAGTTTTTATAATGGAAAGTTGAAAAATAATATGCCTGTATGGTGTATCAAGTAATTTATAATTTAAAAAACTGTTTGAGATTCAATAATATCCATGAAAGGAAAATTTTAAGATTCTTGCAGTTTCTGATCCCCTATCTAGTTTTTTCAAACACAAATACCATACTAGGAACATAACGAAAATTGTTTTTTTTTTCTTTTAATTAAAATTTTCTATTCATTGAAATTTTTTATTTTTAAATTATATAATTTGTCGAAAAAAATTAAATTGTAAATGTTACTAAATTTAATTGTATGGATTAAAATTAATGATAGATTTGCTGTATTTGCCCTGGGTTCATCGGCCTATCCGAATTTCTGTGCATTCGGACATTATGTTGATAATTTACTTGGTGAACTTGGTGGAGAACGGTTACTGAAATTGTCTCAAGGTGATGAAATGTGTGGTCAAGAGCAGGCGTTCCGAAAATGGGCTGCAGATACTTTTGCAGTTGCCTGTGAAACTTTTTGTCTTGATGATGATGATACATTACTAGAAGTTGCACTATCACTCGGGTCAGAAGCTCTGTCTAGATCTACTGTACGATTTATTGAAGCTGATCCTCAACCAATCGCAAAAGGTAATATGTTGTTAAAAACAAAACCAAAACATGAAAAAAACTATCTTTTACTGTAAAAATTAATTCATTCTCTAAATTGTTTTCTAGCTTTGAGTAAATGTCATAATAGAAATGTGACGACTTGCAATATGTTGAGAAAAACTAACTTGAGTGGAAACGACTCTGGGTAAAATTATTTAATTGATAATTTCACTAAACAATTACCTAGTTACATAATAATAATATAATGTTTTTTTTTTTTTTTTTTTTTAGTGCGACTACGTTATTGTTAGAACTAGATGATTTAGCGGGCATGGAAATTTCTTACAAGCCAGGGGATCATCTAGGAGTATTTGCATGTAATAAAAGTGAGCTAGTTGAAGGAATTCTTGCTCGCCTTGAACCAACTCTAGACTTTGATACTCCAATGGAACTTCAAACACAAAAACAATCTCATACACCAAATGGTTAATTATTTTGTTCGCCGCCCAGAATCATTATTTTATATTAAATGTATTTACAATTTTTTTTTTTTTTTTTTTTTTAATCAGGTGTTGTCAAAACTTGGGTTCCTCATGAAAGATTTTCACCAAATGCATTAAGAATGTTACTTACTCGATTTTTGGATATTACTACTCCACCAACACCTAATCTCTTAAGATACTTTTCATCAATTGCAGAAAATCCTAAAGAAAAAAATCAACTTAATCTTTTAGCCACCGCAAGTATCTCATTTTTTTGAATTTACATGCAATTTAAAAAAAAAAATCAACTAATCAAATCTTAATTTAATTCTTTACAGGACTCAGCAGCTTATGAAGATTGGAAGCATTGGAAATACCCAAATTTATTGGAGGTTTTAGAGGAATTCCCATCAATAAAACCATATGCTCCACTTTTTGTTCTTCATTTAACTCCATTGCAGCCGAGATTTTACAGCATTTCTTCTTCACCGCTAGTACATCAAGGACAAATTCATTTGACAGTTGCTATTGTGCAATATAAATCTCAAGGTAATGAATAAAAGTTTATAGAAAAAAAGAAATATTATAAATTAATTCTTTAGATCAGTCATGAATGATAGATGATAATCTTTAATTGCACACATTACAATGCGGTACGGCTAATCAAAAAGCATTATGGTTTTTTTTTCACAGATACATTTCAGTACATCTTTCATTTTTTTTGCATGTACTATTTATCACATACATATTTTTTTTACGCTTTTCTATATCATTACTTTTATCACTACTGATGTAATTAATTTTTATTTATATTTAAAAAGAAAAATACTTGACGATTTGAAGATAAAATTGATTTTAGAATTAATTAAAATCATTTTCAGGAGGAACTGGGCCTATTCATTATGGTGTATGCTCTAATTATCTCAACGAAATAACCGATGGCGAGCCATTATACGTTTTTGTTCGAAGGTAATGTTAACTTTCAAATTTAAAAAAGTAGTGAAGCGTTTAAATTGATAGAATAATATTATTATTAATTTAAAAAAAAATTTACAGTGCACCAAACTTTTACATGCCTCCTGATGTTAGTGCTCCAATGATTTTAGTTGGTCCAGGTACAGGAATTGCACCATTTCGAGGATTTTGGCATCATCGATATGCTCAGATGCAGATGCAGATCCGTAAGTTAAATATATTTATCAAATTTTAATTAGCTGTAATTTCACAAGTATGTTTTTATAATGAATTTATTAACTACTTTCAATAATTTTTGTTGTATTAAAGGAGAAAATTTTGGAAAAATCTGGTTATTCTTTGGTTGTCGTCAGAAAAATATAGATCTTTACTGTCAGGAAAAACGTGAAATGATGGAAGCAGGGGTACTGGATAACGTTTTCTTGGCCCTGTCCCGCGAAAAAGGAATTAAAAAAACTTATGTCCAGGATTTAATTCTAGCTGAATCTTTACAAATTTATAATATGTTAGTACATGAAAATGGGCATTTTTATGTGTGCGGAGATTGTACTATGGCTGAAGATGTTTATCAAACATTAAAACACATTATTCAAACGCACGGACAACTTTCAGATAAGGAAGTTGAAGCCTACATGCTTTCTTTAAGGGTAATTAATTCTGCTTTCTTATTAACTAAGCTAAAAAAGTTATAGTACTTATTTTCTATATTCTTGATCTAAAATATAACATTATTTTAACATATATTTTTTAGGATCAAACAAGATATCATGAAGATATTTTCGGAATAACTTTCCGTACTGCAGAAGTACATAATCGCTCTCGTGAAACCGCAAGAATTCGATTGGCAACAGAACCTGTATCAACTTAAAATAAACTCTAATTCTTCTCAAAAATATACTATATAAAACAGTTCATATTATAAATCGATTAAAATTTGAAAAAAATCAAAGATCTTACGAAATAAATTAAAGTTTAAAAACATTTGAAATTTATCTCCTCGAATTGCATGTTAATATTCTTCAAGTAATTTACTACGACAGTGCAAATAGTAGGTGAAAAACGACTTTAAAGAGTTTTAAATAAAGAAATTTAATATCGATGGAAAAATTTTCAAATTACTCAAAGATATTCTTTGAATCTTTGTGTCAAAAATTTAAAACAGTTTACTACAGATACAAAATTAAAAATAAAAAAAAACTAAGGGCCATTGTTTCGAACTATGTTTTTTGTTTAAACAGAGTTTTTCTATGTTAACAAAAGAAAAAAAACTTGATTTTAATAAAAAAAGATAATTTGAAAAACTGGCCCTGAACAACTGTCAAGCGTTTGTTATTATAAGTAATATATCAATTCACAAGATGAATAAATAAATATCAATTTTTAATTATTACCAATATAAAATTAATCGCACAAATCTTTTAGATCTATCTGTAGAAGTATTGTGATATCGTGTAACAAATTTATCGATATTACTCGAGTTAATTTTAAAAGTCGAAATTTTAAATGTGTAATTTATCAAAAATACATTATTTAAACCTTGATTTATTACCTGAAATAAAAAATTATATAAAATTATTATTTGATAATTTCTTTATTCCTGATGAATACTGAAAATAATAACGTTCAGAATTATTATTTTTATTACTTCATTACTCCCGAGAATATCCCGCTCTGGATGGTTGGGCTAAACTACTCTTAATTTAAATGAGAGTTACTACTCGACTCAGACAATCTTTATTACAATTTTTTATATTAGCTAGGAGATGAAAATATATTTTCTTATGATTCAACAATTACTTAAATTAAAAGAAACTAAATCATAAATTTATACTTTTTTTATGACAATTCTCTTTACTATTCTTTATCTCTTGTTCAATTACAAAATATTTTTCGGTGATAAAACTACATTTTTAATAGTAAAACATTTTATTAGTGGCTAAATGTTTAGACTTAAGTTACTAGGTTTTCTCTAAAGTTTTTTTTTTTTACAGCTATCAATAAATACAATATTGAATCACGCGCTATCAAAAAGGTACTGTGAATAGTCGCATGGCAGCACCAGTCGTGACATCACAAAACAAACTTCGGACATTCATCTTTTAAAAACTTAAATTATATGTATGTAGTTGTGTACCTACACACATTTGAACTAAAAGCACAGGTACAGGTAGTTGTGTGTTGTGTCAAGAATGAACCTCCCCACTATGCGTAATCTTACCTTCTGGTAGTATTTTTCACTGATGCTGGGATAATTCTGTCATTGTTGAGTTGGGTTTAAATATATTTTTTTTTTAACCATACTACATGTTCATGCTTCATCAATAAATTTTCTTAAACTAATTACATTAGGTGATTGAAACAAATATTTATAAATTTAAAATTGCAATCAGCAAAATTATTAAAAATGAATAAAGATGATGAGGCAACTGCTGATGATCAAGTTAATGATATGAGAGAGGTAAAATAGTAATATTTTCCTATTTATGACATTAAGTGACAATAAATTTTTGTTTTAGGTCGTTCAAATCCGTAGTGAAGCTAGTATTCATCAAGAGTTCTCACATCAAATAGAATTAAAATCAAAATACTCATTAAATAAGACTGATATAAAAGAAACAGATCATCACTTGGAAAATGTTGAATTAGATAGACGAGTACAAGTTGGAGAAATCACTCCCTTTGAAGCTGAATCACAGAAAAAAAAAGATTCTCCTAGTACATTTAATAGTACGACTGGATTATTGGATTTGGAGAAGTATCTCAAAAGACAAGCTGAAGTGGCTGCTAAGAGGAAACAACTGCTAAAGCTAAAGGTTGCCAAGTCGAATCAAACTAAAGGAAACTTGAATGGGAAATTTAACAAAAAAAGAGTCAAAAAAAGAAAAAGTTCAGAATCTTCAAATACATCTTCATCTACTATCCTTCCCAATGAAGACGCGACAGACCGCGAAGTTATAATTGAATCTCATACCACATCAACTCGACTTGTAAATAATACTAAAGATATTGAGAATGAAAGTGGTAGTGAGTATGTTCCAAGCAATGATGATTCAGAGGAAGATGAATATAAAGTTCCAAAAGCAAAAAAAAAACGTCTCTCGATAGAATCATCAAAAAAAATTAGGATTCTTGATGATGGAGACGAATCTTTGTATAAAAAAAGAGTTAACGAAAGAATGAAATCCAGTGGGCTTCATGATACCAGTCTTCGAACAGTTGATAATTTATTTAAAGTTCCACGAATTTTGTGGAAAAAACTTTTTGAGTATCAAAAAGTATCAGTTCGTTGGCTCTGGGAGCTACACAGTCGTGGATTAGGAGGTTTGCTGGGTGATGAAATGGGTTTGGGAAAAACAGGTTCGTTTGAATACTTTGATCTTATGAAGTTTATTATACGGTTTCTTGGAACTTTCTTTGGTTTAATTCTGAATTACGTTAAATTAACTAATTTACTTATTTCAAAAATAAATAAATAAATAATTACTTTTTATTTATAATAATAATAATAATAATAATAATAAGATAATTTTTTTGCAGTCCAGGTGATTGCTTTTTTTGCAGGTCTTGATTGCAGTGAATTGCTGTCTGATGGTGGTAGATTTCGTGGACTTGGTCCAACGTTAATTGTATGTCCAGCGACATTACTTGAGCAATGGGTTCAACATTTTCACGACTGGTGGCCTGTGTTGCGTGTTGTAACACTCCATCACTCTGGAACACATCAAGGGGATCCAGAAGATCTACTTGAGAGTTTAAAGACTGGCGGAGTTTTATTAACTTCATATTCTGGTGTTTTGAATCATGCAGAGTTACTTGTACCTTTTAAGTGGCACTATGTTGTTTTGGATGAAGGCCACAAAATCCGTAATCCACAAGCAAAAGTTACCAAAGTTGTTAAAAAGTTTTGTACACCCCATCGACTTTTATTAACTGGTAGTCCGATGCAAAATTCACTAAAAGAATTATGGTCATTATTTGATTTTATTTTGCCGGGAAAACTTGGTACAATTGATGCATTTATAGAGCATTGCGCTACGCCAATTACCAAAGGAGGGTATTCTAACGCCTCTGCACTGCAAGAAGCTACAGCTTTACAAGTTGCTACGATGCTAAAAGACGCAATCAGTCCATATATGTTACGGAGGACAAAAAATGATGTTCAAGATCATATTAATTTGCCGAAAAAAAATGAACAAGTGTTATTTTGTAGTTTAACTAAAGAGCAAACAGATTTATATAAAAAATTTTTAAAATCTGAATGCGTTAGTTCGGTTTTACACGATAAAGCAAATGGAGGTGACAATAGATACCGCGCTAAACTTTTGGTTGCATTAACAGCCTTGAGAAAATTATGCAATCATCCAGATTTGTTTATTTACAGTCAAAATGAAGAATCTGATGAGGAAATAGATACTTGTGAAAATATTGATATAGAAAAATTCGGCTACTGGAAAAGATCGGGGAAGATGACAGTGGTGAAATCACTTCTGAAAATTTGGAAAAGTCAAGGCCATCGAGTTTTAATTTTTACTCAAAGTAGACAAATGCTCCATGTACTTGAAGCTTTAATTCAACAAGAAAAGTACACCTATCTGAGACTTGATGGCTTAACACCCATGAACGAACGTCAGAGAGCAATTCGTAGGTTTAATGAAAATGATTCATACTTTGTCTTTATTTCAACAACAAGAGTTGGAGGTTTGGGAGTTAATTTAACAGGAGCAAACCGTGTTATTATTTATGATCCTGATTGGAATCCTGCTACTGATGCACAGGCACGTGAGCGGGCTTGGCGTATCGGTCAAGAGAAACAGGTGACCATTTATCGATTGATAACGGCAGGTACTATTGAGGAAAAAATTTATCATCGGCAGATTTTTAAATTGTTACTGTCAAACAGAGTATTAGATGATCCATGTCAGCGAAGATTATTTCAGACGTCCGATTTAACAGAATTATTTAATTTAAATGAACCAATTGATGGTACTGCTACTGAATCAGATCGACTTTTTGGTGATTCCAACCTCAAGGATAATAAAAAACATTTATCATCATCTAAAAAATCTAAATCTAAAAGACTAAGTCCACGGAAAGAAAAAAAAATATCGGCATTGTTTGAAGGTGAACAAGTATCCTGTTTGATTGGTCGTAGACTCGGTCAATCTGAAGAGTCATCATCCTCATTATCAAAAACAACAATTGTTGATGATGATAATTATGTACTTCAAAAATTATTTTCTAAAACTAGTAAGTCTTTTTTTCAAATTTTTACAGATGAAATTCACGACTATTTTGATTGTTTTTAATTAAATTAATTTTTTTTAGATATCAGTTCAACTTTGTCGCACGAAAAAATTTTGTCGAGTGCTAAAGTAGATCCAAGTACAACAACGCCGATGCAAAAGGTGGCTCGTGAAACAGCTCAAGAAAGTATGGATTTCGTACGTCAATCTCGAAAGTGGTGTTGGCGTCCATCGTGGGATCCAGTATAAATTTTTTATAAAAATTCCTGTCTTAATAAGTTTAATTTATTTTTTATTTTTATACCAACTAATGTACTTACAAGATAATTTTTTGTACAATATATTAAATATTAAAAAAAAAAAAAAGTAATTTTATTGTAGATTAAAAGCGTGTTTTCATTTTTCGTCGAGTGAAAACAAAACGCTTATACGTTAATTAAATAAATAACGAAACTTTGTACCCATCTGATTTTTTATCCCTTAATAAAATAATTAATGCTTAAGAAACTCATTCAGCGATGGACCACCTCTGCCTAGTGGATCTTCTGGGAACATTACGTACTCGCCGGCAAATGTTGGTGCAAGCAATCGTTTCTCAATGGTCTCACGCCATTCAGGTTTTTCGTGCCACAAATCCCGATACTGATCAGAAGAAACCACGATTCCTTTACATTTGGTTGCATAGTCCAAAATAAACCTATGAATAAAAATAAATTTCAGTTATTTTAGAAACGTTTTTTTTTTTTTTAATTAATCATATATTCAATGTATAACCTGTCATCATATGGTACAATTTTTTTCCCCCCAATATTTCTACTAGGTGTAAAAATAACCAAGCCTTCACGATACCACTGTTCAAGAAAACCACGATAACGATTTCGTTGATTTTGTGGCAAAAAAATTTTGACTTTATGTCCACGATCCTGAAAATAATCTAGGACTAATTGTAAACCATTTTTTTCGAAGATTTTTCTTCCAAGTGAGTACCTAGAATAATGATTTTTTTTCATTTTCATGTTAACATTATATCTTATTAGTTTAGAGTTGAGAATAATATATTTACAAAATTTAAAATAAAACATACCCAAATGCAACATTAAGACCATCGACTATAATTTCTCGTAATTTATGAATCTGTTTATTATTTTGATCATCTGATGTATTACTTTTGGCTTGTTCTGATGTTACTGTATTATTAGTATTAGTAGTTGTACTAGTAGCAGTAGAAGTAGTAGGTGCTGTATCAAATTTAGTAAATTTATTTGCTGTATATAAAATTTCAGATTGCGGTGGCAAAGCCATTTTCTCGCAAATTGAATTATCCCCCTTCGTATCAACAAAAAACAGCTGTGGAGTTTCGTAATTACTCTTTGTACTAATTTTCTGGTTATTTTCTAGGGCAGTATTATCATCTTTAGCTGAAGACCAGATGACAGCAACGTCTTCATTTTGCTTCTTACTTACTTCTAAAAAAACAAATAATTTAATGTATTTGTGATCGAATTGAATCAATTAAAACTAAAAATGTTAAATGTATTTATAAATACCAATATTTTTACGAGCACGATTTCGTGTTCGTTCCATGTTCTGAATTTTCCTTAATTTTTTTCTTTCTTTAATTTTATCCTCAATTTTTTTCTTTCTCTTTATTTCTTGATTATTTACATTACTATTACGAGGTCTTAACCTTTTATTATTAACATTAGGAGTAAAATTATCAATGACAATTACTTCAGGAGTATCCTTCAATTTATGAGTCATTTGGGATTCATGACTTTTGTCATTATTTTTATTATCATTATCATTATTATTATCATCATCATCACTTATCACAATAGTCTCATTGATACAAGTTTTTTGTCTTTTCCTTGATGATAAAATTTCGACTTCGTGTAAACGTTTTTTTTTTGTAACTGATTGGGGTGTTTTACTAGAGCTATGATTAAATATATTTATTAATAATAATAAATAAATAAGTGTATAATTATGAATGAATAGTTACCACATGTTTTTGCGATTGACAGGACTCATGTGAACAGGATACAATGGTTTTCTTTGGGATCTGGTCTGTCTTCTAACTGGACTTGATAAATTTTTTTGAACTGATCCATTCATTTTTTTAGAGGATTTATTAATTTTGGGAGTATCACACACAATAACAGATTCATCAAGCAAATTCATCTTGAAACTTTTTCTATGGTTACTAATTCGGAGAATCAATTTACGTCGTTTCATTTAATTTTTGGTGTCAAAAATACTCAGCTGTTAGGTTTCTTATTGAACTTTATCAATAGTAAAATATATTTTTAATCAATAATTCAGTTAAATAATGACATTATTTAAATTAACAATCATTACTTTCGGAACGTAACCTAAAATTAAAAATTTATTGAGGAATAATAATAATTTTCCGATTCAATTTTCGAGTCTGTATCAATATAGTTTATAAAATTAATGACAATATTGATAATATTCAATAAAAAAAATAGAAAGCGTTAATAATTTTTTGAATTTGTGAACATGCCAAATGAACTTGCCAAATTTATTTGAACATCTGTAACACTACATACACATATTTGCTCTTATTTAGGTTATTTATATTTATATATATATGTATATACATGTGTACAAACATATAGATAATTGAAAAACATTTAGTAATGATTATTCATAAGAATAGTTGGCATTACTTTTAAAAACGACTATTTGACTATTTCACTCGTACTTGCAACGTCTGATATCAATTTTATAAGAAAAAAAATAAACTAATTGATTTATTTACGCTTGGAAAAATTAATAAAACTAATCATCAAAATAGATAAGAAAAAGGGTTACAAATTAAGTTTATTTTCTTCAACGAAAATAGATTTTTTTTTCAAGTATAAATCCGTTTTATATAATAGCGGCTACTTTGGGCTACTTCAGCGCTTCACTTCAACGGTTCGTAAACAACATCTGACAACCTTGTTAAAATGATACTCCCTAAATATACATAAACATATAATATATATATATGTAGTATAGTATGCCTTCAGAACTGGTTTCGGGTACTTTGAAAATAAATTAAGTTGTTTTGATATTTTGAGTTGAATAAAAATATTTGGAAACTAATGGTAAAATTTTTTAAATGATTAAATAATAAACAAGTAAATGTAAGTATAATTTAAGAAATTAATGATAATTTTTTGTATTAAAAAAAGTTGGAAAAAATGTCGTATCAAGGATCACCCTTTTCGGTTGTCTACGGACCAGATGATTACGATCTTGATGATGACAATGAGCATTATATGGATGATGATCGAAATGTTGATGATCCAGATGAAAGCGATGAAGGTTATTGTCTATTTATTTTCCTTCGTTTTTTAAAATAGTTTTTGACTAAAGTTAGGTTAGAATTTTTGTTTTTTTTTAATTAATATTTTTTTTATTAATTTTGAGAATTTGTAATTGTGAATATTTAGATACTGAAGAAGCAAGTGAACCTGAAATGGGAAAATCTGAGGAGATGACAGAAATTAAAGAACAGTAAGTAATTGATAATGATTAATTATTTATTTTTATAACAAGTATAATGATAAATAAATAAATAAATAATGATTGTAGGGTTTATCAAGATAAATTAGGAAGTTTGAAAAAACAACTTCAACAATTAAATGATGGAAGCCATCCAGAGTTTATACGTAAGTTAAAACGTTTGGAGTCTCAATATCAAGAAAGGTATGGAAGAGTTAATTAAAGTAAATACTAAAATTTTAATAAATATTTGAATAATTATTTTATTTCAGAATACGTTTAAATATTATTCACCGTGAATATCTTATTGAGTGGGCGGAAAGGGATTATGTAGCTGAAAAAAAAGCTGCTTGCAAAGAATTTGAAGACAAAAAAATAGACCTCAAAGAAAATTTATTGACTGATATGGAGGAAAAGAAAAAAATGATTGAATCTGATCGACAAACAATGGAATTGACCGGTGATTCTACAGAGGTAGATAAAGATTTTCTTATAAACCGCGAAAATGATGAAATTTATAGATTTACAATTTACTTCATTAAATAGAAGGGATCCTTTATCATAATTGTGATACCAATTTTATTGCCAATAAAATATTTAAAATTTATATTTAATCTTAGTGCTTATAAAATTTTTTTTTTTAAATCGATTATTCGTTAAAAAAAAGTAGATATTTTGAATCAGAGTAAATTTTAAAGAAACTAAAATCAATTTCCAGTAAAAGTATTATTGTAAGATTAGTATATTACTGATTATAGGCAAGAATAATTCAATAATGAAAATTTGTATTAGGTAAAACCAGTGATGACAAGAAAATTACGTCGAAGACCAAATGATCCAGTTCCAGAAAAAGTTGAGAAACGTCGGAAACCACCTCCAGCTCAATTGAATTATTTGCTTGATGAAAAAGAAATAGAAAATGATCTGAAAGCAATAAGCCGAGGAAAAGTGACTCCAACAGTCCGGAAACAAGGTACCTAAATGCATTTTGTTTGTCTAATAGTTATAAATAAAAAAAAGTTAACAAAGTGTGGGTTAATAATTATTTCAGTGGTAATACCACACTTCAACAATCCTGTAAATATTTCTACTTCTCATGTACCACCTTCTACAGAGGCAAATTTAGTTGAAACGCGGATTGAAGATGGAAAACTTTGGTATGAAAGAAGATGGTACCACAGAGGACAACCAGTTTACGTTGAGGGTATGGAAATGTCAAGGTTCGGTGCAAATATAGCAGCCATTGGAACAGAAGTCGTAAGTATTATTGATATTGTTATATATTATTAGTATCTACTTTATTTATTCACCATAAATATTTATTATTAAAAATATAGATTTGGGTTAAGAAAGTATCTGATGGTACCAAAGTGCGTATTTGTATATCACAATTAAGCCGTGGAAGAGTATCATTAAAACGCCGGGCATCTTAACAGTCACAGCCGCGGATCGTCCTCAGACTGGCAAGATCCCGTGGCTCATCCTCGAGCGGTACATCGTCAGATTTTTATTTACGTCTTCCATCGACGTGTGATGATGCTTCAACTTAACAACACTTGTTTTTTGCCACCAATAAAACCATACTCGTTGATGATATTGCAAGGCCATATAAATCCAAGCAAAATATGAAAATACAACTAGTATCATCATAGCAACAAGTGAATAAGTTGTCCATCTTGCAGGCGGGAAGTTGTCATAGTTATTTGTCGAATAAAAATCCGCGGCGACAATACATACGTAAGTTGAGCCTAATGTCAGTGGAGTGGCGATCATGCAACGTATTAAATCAACACGTATATTACGTACAAATAATTGTTGTTCCTCTTGTTTTGTGCACATCCATATTATTATGGAGTGTAATGCGCTGTAACGTGGTGTGCGTTCTATATCAAATTGATAACCACACAACTCACAACTATTTCTGTTACTCTCCTCCAACCAGCGTTCTAAACAAGATAAATGGATTGCTCCCATTGTACCCTAAGAAAAGTCATTTATTACTTGTAATTATTGTTACTATGTAAAATAAATATTTTTTTTTTTTTTTGTATAAACTATCACTTTAATAATTCATTAATATATATTTATAAATAAATAAATATAAAATAAAAAAAAAAAAATAATTTTGTTCTCCTTCAGTTACCTTACATCGACATGGATAAATAATAGGTAATAGAGTTAAGTCATAGCATATACGACAAGATTTTTCTTCAAGTGAATTATCGTCAATGTTTATTGATACGCATTGGCTGATTTTTTCAATTTTATTTTCTAAATTATTTGATACTTTATCTACTATCCAGTTGAGTGTAATTGATATTGTGTCTTCCATAATATTAATTCCCACTAAATAAACAATAAGTGAAATTTATTCCTTTAAATATTTGAAAAAATAATATTAACATTTGATGTTTAAAAATTTTAACTATGGTTATATGTCAATTAATAAAACTGAAAAGAAAAGAAAAAACAACAGAATTAATGTAAAACTTTTTAATTTATATGCAAGTACATTACACAATTTTGAAAGAAAAAAAAAATTTTAGTAATCAATTGATGCATTCATTATTTAGATACTTAAAATAAAAAATGGATTCATTCAGCCATCATGTCAACGCTGAGACAATCTTCACCCATATTACTGGGTGAAGTTTCAAGTTCACCGATTTCATTAGACTCGCTGTCCAAAGACGGGTCGTTGCTAAACATTTCGGTAGGGACAGTTGGTGGTGCTTTTTCAGGCACCAATTCCAGGTACGTCTGACGCGACTCTAAATGTCGCTCTACTTCTTCAGGTGTCATATGACCATCGGAAATCATTGATACCATTGACATAACATTATTAGAGTTGGTTTGAACAGATGGGTTATTCTGAGGTTTTAAAGCTGTTTTTGGAGCTGGTTTTTTCTTTTTAGTTGTACTTGAAGGTTTTACTGGTGATAGGCCATGTGGAGTGTGATTATTAAAATTTATTTCTACTTTCTTTTTTTTATTTAACGTTTCTAATCGTGACATGTCATCATCTGACGACTCGGTTTCATCACTTTCACTAAAAGATGCATCTACTTTTTCATATTGGAGTAAACGATCAAGTAAAAAACTCTTGTCACGATTCACTTTTAATAACTTACGTTGGGTTGACCTCAAGGCTTCTTGAAAACATTCATTTTCCTGTAATACATAAACATAATTATTACTTATTACATATTCTGTAACGATTGTTTCCGATTGAAACAAAAAATAAATCAATGACAATAAACTTACATAAATTAGAAATTTAAGTTTTCGCTTTAAATTACGATATTGATCTTTATAATTCGGTACTTCTTCTTCGGGACTATCCTCTTCATCGTCCTCGGCTTCTGCATTGTTGTTTGCAATTGACCGGCAATACCATCCTTCCAACATTGATCATCTGTGTCTAAATATAAATAATTATTTAATCAAGTATTCAAGATTTCGACATGTGGATTTTATTAGATTTCCCCGATAGTATTTATTTATTATGCTGATAAATAATGACATTATTTATAAAAATGTTTATAATCGAATAATAACATTGAATGTAAACATAAATATTAAATCAAATCATACTTGATATATATATATATATATATTATGATTAAAGGAATTTTATATATCTGTTAATTATTGAATACATAACTACTTACATCTCGATTCCAAAAGTTTTTTTTAACTCTGTAAATATTTGCGTGGATTGATTATTGTGAGAATAAATCAACTCACGGTCACTATTATGAGTAGCTTCCATATCGTATCGTTCAATTTAGATCGATTGTGAGATAACTTCACGTTTATTAAAATTTATATATAGTGCCATCTGTGTTATAAGCTCATACCTTATTTTGTCTCTCATATTCCGATAGGGATTGAGAAAGAACTGTAGAGGCAGCACTACTGCTGAAAAAGTAGAGCGCCCTGGTGTTGAAAATGTAAAGCATAGTGATGTAAACAGTGTAATAAATAGTATTAGTTGAAATAAATAATGAAAAAAATAATTAAATTCGGGTTCTTGTCCGTCAAAAATACCCATATTAGGGATATTAGGGGTCAAAATGAAATAAAAGGAAAAAAGTTATTCGAGTCAGGACACGTTTCGAATGGTGTAGAAACAGAAGATTTAAATAAACATTAAACCATAACCTGCTCAGTTTTCACTCAAACCAAAGTTTCCGATATTTACAGTATAAAAATTGATGTTAGTTGATGAAGTTTTTTTGAAATTATTTTTAATATTCGTTAATTGACGAAATTTATAATTAAATATAAACTTTGTAAAAATATATTACACTAAAATTAGCCGATGTTCACCAATTCTTGCATTTGTTTCAACGATTAAATTGCAAGTAAAAAAATACTTTTAAAAATTTGCACGTATAATTTTTTAAATCTTCGACATGTGAAATTTTTTATTTTGATTTTTTTGTAATGATTTTTTTAATAAAGAAAATTATAAAAATTTTCAGATGTAGGCTAATTTAATTTTGATTAAAAAAATGATACTGAGATCAGCTGACATTTGATAATTTTTTAAATTTTTATGGCAAATCAATTATCATAAAAAAAATTCTTTTGAAAATTTGTACAAATAAGTTTTTTAAATTTCTACATGTGGAATTCTTTTACTATAAATTTTTTAATAATAATTGAATTGTTATAAAAATTTGAAAAGTTGTAAGATGTCTTTTGATTCAGTATCGTAACAAGTTTCGAAGTCTAGAATTGAATTTTTTTTTAATTTTCAATGGAATAGAAAAACTTGATAATAGTTTTGAAGAAGACATTATGAAAAATTATGTTAATTAAATTAAAAAAATAATTAATTTAACAAATATGTTATTGTTTTGTATACTAGTTGCCACCACTTGTGTTTTACATTTTTCTCGGCAGGTGGCGTCAAGATCATCTTTCTCAATCCCTATTATCCCGAGGCTAAATTTGCTAAATTTAAACATTCTGCCATCTTTGGATAAAAGAGATAAAAGATAGAGTTTTGCCATGCGGGATTAATTTAAATATTATTAATAATTTCAATTAATTTAAATTAGTTGGATTAAAAAATATATTTTAGCATTAGATAAAATTTTATACCGCATTTCAAAATTGGCCTTTAATGATTATTAAATTTAATTCGATTATAGTCTTTTCACTAATGTTGAATATAATCAGACAATTTTTTTTCCGATTATAATATTTAAAATTTGCATTATTCTTTAATTATCTACGTTCAGGATTATTAAAATTATTAAGGGCCAGTTTTTCAATCCAGGATAAAATTTAAAATTTTATCCAATGATAAAATATATCTATATATTTCATATATATAAATATACTGACAATAATAATTTTATCCTGGATAAAATTTCATCTCGGATTGAAAAACTGGCCTTAAGTGCAAGTTTTTCTAAGGATATATTTTTTTTTTTTATATAATTTCATCTATGAATCTAAACACTGCCTTAAGGTCCCGCTTAAGGTGGACTTACATCTACGTCCGGACTATAGTTCACAAATTAACGGACTATTGTTGCATTGATAAACATTTACACATATATACCTACTGATATTATACACATTTTAAGACAAGTTTATAGACGTTTACACTGTATATTTTTAATTAATTGTGATAAATATTATTTATTTTATAAAATAATTTCAACGATGAGCATTAATAACTCATTTAACAGACATGTAAGTGTTTTATTTTTATTATCAAAATTTCTCAAGGTTATGTTATCACGTTTAATTTTTTTAATGAGATTTATATTATTTTTCTAACAAAATTTTTTTTTTTTTCCAGGGTAATAGTATGACAGAAATTACTAATGCCTTTGAAGCTGTAAAAATATCAGCATTAAAAAAGGCTGTTAAAATCTCCGAATCAGTAAACAATGTGACAATTGGCCCTAATGCTGTTATAGAATCAATACGCAAAGAAAATTTAGAAAACCTTTCGAATAACTTTAATAACATTATAAATGATTCAAAATCAACAGAAAAATCGCCTGCTTCAAAATCTTCCCGAAGTGCTATTACGTTTTCCATAAAAAAGATTCTTGTTGAAAATGAATTACAACGGAAAGAGGAAGTACGAAAGGCAGTCGAAAAACGTCAAGAGCAAATGGCAAAAGCTTCCAAGGAGTTTCGGGAGGAAATGGTATTATTACGAGAGCTTCATATGGCCAAAAAAGAACGAGAAAGAGCTGCTAGCTTAGCGAAACTTGAAGCAGACGAAGAGCGGTTGGCACAGCAGGATGAGATAAAAAGAAGGCATGCCCAGCAGTTGAATGCTCAAAGATTTAAGGAACGAAAAGAAAGATTTGAACGTGAAGCGCAGCAACACCAAGCTTCTGAAAGAAAAGCGTTGATAGAATCTCTGGATGCCATGCTTAACGAAAAAATACAATCTTTTTGTTTGCTTTTGAATGGGTCCAAAGATCACAATGCCGTTGTTCAAGCTCTCAGTCCTTTCGATTTTAAATTTAAAGAATTGTACAAGCAGATGGAAATGATTAGTCAGAAAGCAAGATCAGCTGAATTGACTACATTCGATCTAACTTGTGCTGAAAGTATTGTACAGTTGGCGGATGAAATTGTTAATTTGTCTAAAATTGAAATTGATAGAATCAATGCCGATTTTGATGAAAAATTAGCAAGACGAAAGGAAGAGATGAGACAAGCTGAAGCTCAAGTTCTTGCGGAAGCTGAAGCAGCTAAAATTCAAGCAATTAATCAAGCCCAAATAAATGAGCAACAAGAAAAAACTAGACAAATTCATCATGAAGCTGAACAAACGATACCGGAAACTCCAGCGAATGAAATAACGACGAGTGCACCTAATCACTATGAAGATCATGAATCACGTCGACTATTAGATAATTCCATAGGATTTTTACATCAGTATGCTGGAAGTTATCATGAGTTTCTACAATCTCCCGAAACCAAAAGATTCAGATTTGAATGTCAAAAGGCAATAAACATTCCTGTTAACACGATATCTGCTGCTAGTGGATCCGACTTAATGGATAAATATGATAAACTTCGATTACTATTGCAAGGAAACACCACACTCAACATCAATCAGTATCCAGGAAGTAGTAATTTCTGTAAAAATTTGCTTGCTAAGAATATTGTTGTACGTATTATAATGTATAATTATTTATTTAATGTATTTTCTACTAGTTAAATAATTTAATGAAATTTAATTTTTAGAATCAAGGAGAAACTCTAGTTTCAAGTAAACCAGAAATGGCGTTTGGAATAGCAGCAGTTACAGTGGCGCTGTGCTGTGATTTTCCTGATCTAATGGAACTGTTGCTAGCGCATTTTCGTACTATATGTCCTTATATTTGTCCAGTATACTTATCTCAACTGCCAGGAGAAAATATAGAAGATTATTATAAATCCATAGGATATAAATATATTGATAACGTTGTTGAAAGACAAGATAAATTTCTCTGTCGGATTTCTGGTATCATGAGGTTATACGCAGCTATAATTATCACTAAACTAAGACGTGGTGTTAAGTGTCCACATCCTCATAATCTTGAGAACGCATGGAGATGGTTGGCAGCAACTTTAAATTTAGGTAATTTTATTTTTATTTTAAAAAATTTTAGCGATATTTTTTTGCATATTTATTAACTCTTATTATATCATTTAGTTCCAAAACCAGAACATGTGGACGCGATAGCTACTTTACTTTATGATATACTTCAAGTGTGTGGAAATTCGATGTTCAGTGCATATCCTACGCAGTTTCCAAAGCTTCTAAGAGCTCTGAATGACCAGTACTATCCACTGTTAGAGAAAAAAGGTGTTATTGGTGGCCCCATTAGTCGACTGGAAGCTTTTCTTAAAAATTCTTTGGCATCAAATAGTATACCGCCACCCGGGGGACAACTTCCTTTGAATATGTGGTAGAATATTCAATTAAAGCATTATTTATCTGATGAAAATGTAAATATGTTTATCATTATTTAACTATTTAAAATAATATTATGTACATACGAAAAACGAAAATCTTTTTTTGAATAATTAAAAAATTTTTAAATATCAAATATTAAATTTTATTATTTTTAGTTTCACTGCAAGAGCTAGTTTGATAAAATACTATTTTTTGCATGTATGTTGTTATAAAAGATCAATAAAATTGAATTTTCTATCACGTTTTGTCATTCGGGGACGTTTTTTCGTGGTTCAGAGGATCAAGAGAGCAGCCTTCCGTAGGAAACACTGGCTTTTTGCCTTGATAGTACACAAATTTTTCGTTTTTAACCTTAAGTATTGCTTTATTTCGTTTTTATTGTTATTATTGTCTAATTCAATGCACACCAGTTGCAATTTATTGCCAGTGGCATTACAAATATTTATATTGACGTTAATGAAAACCCCTTGTCAATATCCAGATTAGGAGTTGTTTCTTTACCTAATTCCTGAATATTATAAAGCAACGAGTAATTTTTTCATTCAAATTCCAATTGTAAATATTTATTAGAAAAATTTACTAAATTGACTGTAAGTTGATGGTAAAGTTAGCAACTTTTACTTTTTGCTCTCCCAAAAAACGCATTGTAGAAATTTCAGCTGTGTTGGTTCATCTTATCGTATTCGAGCGAGCCAGTCGTCATGTACAAGTGAGAATTAAAATTTATTTTTCTCTATTTTTTAGATTAACATTCATTTTTTTTTTTTTTATTTACAAATGGTTACTATAAGAATAAATTTCATAGTCATATTTTACTTTATTGTTACAGCCATTTATCATCAAAGTTTGGCATAGAGTGTCATTCAACAAACCAGTAATTGACTACAGTATCACTGCTGATAAAAATGAAGATATAGCTCATCCAAATCAAAAATTGTTTTTAGCTTGTGATGACAATGACCAACCATTACTATTTTATTAAAAATAATTTTAATAATATAAATCTTCATTGGTTATTAGAATTTAACATGCGCGCACCTGAATATAGAATTTGCATATATTTTCATGCATATGATTTATGATACATTTGACCAATCACATTACGAATAAATTGGCTTCATATACATTTCATCTCAATTTTATGTTGGGACAATCAATTATGTTGTAATTTATCATCATTTATTTCAGTTTTCTGGTAATGCGTTACTACACACAAAATATAAATAATTAGTACGGATATTTCCTTGAACTGTAAATGCAAGGGAAGTGGCTAAAATCTGCGAAGCTAAGGATTCGTTTCAGCACGTATTAGAAAACTTAAGTTCTATATTTGTCTTAATGCGCGACTCTTATGCGACTTACTAACGGCTGCTGTTTTGTACTTACTATATAAATACAACTATTATTAATTAATTTTGAGACTTACTAATTTTTTATCGCTAGAGAATTAAAAATAAATTTTCAACTTTCATTAATTGAAAATTGATGTAACTATACAATCGGCTGACGCAGCGTATGAAACTTCACACTTGAAAATTATATATATATATTTTTTTTTTTATACTAGTTTATACACATTTTTTAAGTCGATTTAACAGTTTAGAATATAATAGAAAAATTGTTTCTAGTCACCTAAAGATTATGAACTTCGTATACGAAGTCTCAAAATTTGGTCAATATAAATTTTCAACAGTTGCCAAGAAATAAAAAAATGCTTGTGAAATTAAAATGTAAAAGTGAGAACACAATGCAATAGATAAATCAGGTGTGCAGAGAGTTGCCGTGGAAAAAACCGACACAACATTTCGTATCATTTACATTTTGTATCTGTTGTATGCGCTCCACACACTTTTCATTTTTTTTTTTACTTCAATATTTATTTTCTGCATTTCAGAATTACGTGTAGAAAATTTTCAATCGAATTTAACTTTATCGAGCACTTTGAGCTCGAAAATAACGGAAAGTTTCAGAGATGGCCTGTACGGTCTATAATTTTTCAAATTTCTTTTTATTAAATCTACATTTTTCATAAAAAAAAAAACATCTGACTTATAATTCCTGTAATTTTGATTGAATTGTTAGTGTAGTATTATAAGATATCTCTCTGTATACTGACACGAAGGAAAAAATGATTGAATATGTGAATCAGAGAGAAATTTAGTCATGATTATGAAGTTTGAGATTCTGAGATATGCAGTTACTATAATAAAGTTTCATTTATTTCCTTGAACTTACCTGCATGACTCACATTGATACCCGGATCAAGAATGTGGATCTTTTTAGTTACTACGGAAGTATTGGAATGCTGGAATTTAGTGAGTCACCAATCTCGATTATTTCACTTTTCATTGCGTTGTTTCGCATGCCTTAAGCGCGAAACACGAAGGTAGTGCTCTACTCTCGCCTTAAAACTAACTTTTCGATTTCGTCATAAAAAAAAAAACTTTACTCGAAAGAACCCTTTAATTTGGTCAAGTTTAATTATAATTAATAAGAACTCAACATCTGACTTATAATTCCTGTAATTTTGATTGAATTGTTAGTGTAGTATTATAAGATATCTCTCTGTATACTGACACGAAGGAAAAAATGATTGAATATGTGAATCAGAGAGAAATTTAGTCATGATTATGAAGTTTGAGATTCTGAGATATGCAGTTACTATAATAAAGTTTCATTTATTTCCTTGAACTTACCTGCATGACTCACATTGATACCCGGATCAAGAATGTGGATCTTTTTAGTTACTACGGAAGTATTGGAATGCTGGAATTTAGTGAGTCACCAATCTCGATTATTTCACTTTTCATTGCGTTGTTTCGCATGCCTTAAGCGCGAAACACGAAGGTAGTGCTCTACTCTCGCCTTAAAACTAACTTTTCGATTTCGTCATCTTAAATTGTGCCTGAAATTTATAATACTTCTATGAATCATATACAAATATATCATCATTAGAAAGAAAAAACTGATTAATGAACAATACATTTATATAATATATCTGTTTGTAATGTAATGATATTTGATGCCAAGTTATTCAGAATTTCTGTGCTTGATTTGAATATAACTTTTCAATAATGTAATTTTCTAATTTTATTCTTTAGTATGATCGATACTTTGATAAGTTACAATTAATATATACTACTCCCAAGAATTAAAATTTAAAATAAAGAATCAAGAATTAAGAATTAAATTTCGAAATTTTTCTGTGATTTTTGATGGGCTGTGTTTAGGTGAAAAATAGTCGTATTAAAATTGAATGGTTTCAAAAAGTCTGATTTTTTTTTTTTACTTTAATTTAGTATCTTTGCAAAGTTCGGTTTTCTAACGATTGTTTTTAAATTTGGACTTATAGCTAATGAACTCTTTTCAAGATGTTTTTAAAAAACTAGACTAATAATATTAATCAACAAATAATAAATTTTTTTTTAAATAGTTTCATTCATCATTATAACATAGTTTCTAAGATATGATTGATAAATTAGACGTGACTATTCACACAATTCACCCATAAAAAAATCCTGATAAATCCACGCCGCGTAAATATAAAGTCCTTTACATTCACGCAGCGTAGATATGAGGCCCTTACATCGATAAATATTAAAATAACCGGAGAAAAATGGAAAAAGATTTTATTTTTGAACGCTCCAAACTTTTTGATTTTGCTTACTTAAACATCAAATTATTTAGGGCTAGTTTTTCAATCCAAGATAAAATTTTATCCAGGATAAAATGATCATTGCCTGTATATTTATATATATGAAACATATAGATATATTTTATCATTGGATAAAATTTTATCCTGGATTGAAAAACTGGCCCTTAGTAAATTGTTTTAGTAACATTTTATATTTTTAAACGGTGTTTTAATTAATAGAAGTAACTGCAGTAATCGGAGATTGACTTAACTATTAAAAGTCTTGACTTTAGTCCTCCTGGCGCTGTGACTGATAAAATTAAAATATGAGATGCATTTAATTAGTTTTTAATTGAATATAGCAAATTTAGCGGTAATAAAAAAATAGATATAACTATTAGTAAAACCTGAACTCATTTAGTTGTGTTTACAAATAAGTATCAGTCTTGAACTTGGTAAAACATTTTAAGTTATACTTACTGCTTTTGCAGAGCTTGGATTTTGCTTGAAATTTCCATCTCAGAACTTTTATAATTTCGGTGAAACATAACATTATTACTGATATGGCAAGATCATAGTTTTTTTTGAGGAATTTTATCGACTTTAGGTGGATCTGTTTCTTCATATACACATCGATGCATTTAATGATATTATTGTTATTCTAGAAGCTTTTTTATTTTGATTCCTGTAATTTATCCTTAAAGTCGTTGAATATATTGAGCTTTGCAAACGGACGAAAGTCCCACCGACCACTTTATTACAAGGGGACGGCCGATGAAGACATCGCCCGGGCGCGTAGCTCATTCATTTTATTTCATCAACATTGTTTCACTAATTACTTAAAATGTTATCACACTGAAAGAAAAAAATGTATTCAAGAAAATTGTTTTTTTTTTTTTTAAATATTCATCTCCATTCATCTCCACAATATTCATTCAGTTTGAAGAATTTTTGTTTTTGATTTTCTCAATTTTGTTAAAATTTTTTCAGTACTTTTTTAAAAATTTGGCATTTGAGTTAAAATCTTTGTAATAATAAATATCCACGAAATTTTTGAAATTTTTAAAGTGTTGCAGAGCATCATCAGAATACTTATTCAAGTCGTGCGATTCTAATTAAATTAAAAAAAGTATATCAGGAATTGAAAATATAATTTAGAAAAATTCTTAACAAAGTACATTGATAAATAAAAGATTCTGATCATATTGTATATACAATATATATTAACAGACTAAATAATAAATATTGATTTCAAGTCTTTATTAACGGTTGACAAATGTAAGAAGAAATTAAAAAAAAAAAAAAAATTTAAGTTCATATATATATAGTGATCAAAACTGGTGTTCATAATGACTTATAAAG